AATGTGTGTAGCATCCAAAAAACCAAAAAGCAAAACATGTCTTGCAGCCCATTTGTCCGAACCCATGTCTTAGGCATCTCTTACCCATTTCTTTGAACCCAAACCATGGTTGTTGTTGGGAAACATTTTACATTTTTGCTTATTGTGGTTTAGTTGGAGATCCCCACTTCGCTGCTAAACTTTAGATTTTTGCTCCCCTTCCAACGTCAACCAATCGACGGGTTGACCCGTTTTTCCTGCGGAGAGGCACGGGTGCTGAGTGAGCTGGCCGACCCTCGGCTGCCGATGCCCACGCCCCGGGGGGGGGGGGGGGGAGGTGGGCGGATTTTTTGGTTTTGAGACGGGGGATTTCAAGGCGGGTTGGGGGGGGGGGGTTGTGAGGGTCATCTGCTTCCTTGCCTTTAGTTTTATTTCTTTTCATTTTTTTTTTTTGGGGGGGGGGAAGGGGGAGGGGGAGGGGGGAAGAAGGGTTTTGAGGATGATGTCCTTCCTTCCCCTTTTCTTTCCATTTTTTGTCAGGGGGGGGGGGAAGGGGGGTGGGGATAGTTTTAAGGTTTGAGGGTTGAAGGTGGTTGTAAGGTTTGAACGCGATTCTCTTTCTTTGGGGTGGTTCAAGATTTGAAGTTTGCTGTTTTTTTGTGTTTCTTCTTTTTTTTGCCCTTGTCGTGGTTTTGAGGTGGCGTCATGTTTGAGGGTACCCTTTCGACTGTGTTTCAAAGGGGAAGCTGATGGAAAGAAGCAATTTTGCCCCTCACTTCTGCGACACCGCTGATGGAGGAAATCCATTTCGCACCAGTGGTAAGTGGGTTACCACCAAGTTGGCAATTGGGTTCAGGATCACCTGCCTTCGTCCCTCTTCATTGGCTGTGGATGGGGCTAGAATCCGCTCCACACCAGTGGATAGGCGGATTGTCCCAGGACTTATACGGTTTCATCCATTCCGATTGGTGCGAAGTGAGTTTTGCACAGTAGGGAACCGTTCCCGCCCCTTCAAGGGAACCACAAGGGAACCACAGCCCCATATTTGGAATCCCCATTTAGCCAATTCACCGTTCCTTTTGGTTTTCTCGAGGCGGAACCTCCGAAATGACTGGTCTCAAAAAATGGGGCCACACTCGAATCAGCCACGGTCCAACTATGCGGCGTCCCTTTAAAACAGCCCCAACGAGGTACCTTCCCGAAATGAGCAAACCCTCCAAACAAAATGGGCTCACATTTGTTTAAACCAATTTTCCACAACCAACCCTGAGACACAAAAAATGGCAAACACACACCAAGGGGTGCCCGGGGGCTGTCTTCTGTTTGTTCTTCTGGTTGCCCGGTTGGTGGGTCGGGCGGCCGAGGCTCTACGGGCGCGCCAAGGGCCCCTGGCGAGCCCCGCTCTTCCGGCAGATGGGCAGCAGCATGCCCACGCCTCGGTTCTCGCTGCGCCGGGCGCGTGGAATGCGGGGCGTGTGGGGGGCCAAAACGCGGGGGCCCAGTCAGCGCGCTGTGCCCGGGTTGGTGATTTCTGGAGCCCGGTGCCGGGGGTGGGCCCGTTTACCCTCTGAAAGAAGCAAACCTCAGCTATGTGGTTCAGTATTGTTGGTTTACTTGCAGGGCAGCCATCGTAGCTTCCAACTGACTTTGAGAGCGTAAGAGCCTGCTGGATTTGGGCAGTTGGCCAGGCACGTTTAGAAGACTACGTTCCTCTTGGACACGGGGCCTCTGTGCTTCCATGTTTGTTGGCGGGTAACCTGCGGGTTCTCCGTACGGATGTTTCCATCTAAATTGCAAGGTGTTTTCATCGGGACTCCAAAGACAGAAACACACGCATGCCATGTTCCAAAGGGAGGAAAGCATATTGTGACCCTGCCTATCCTTTCTGCGTCTCTGTTTCGTTTTTGCCTCTGATACTTTTTGCCATCCTCTTGCAAGGGCTTTCTTCGATTGGCCCAGTAGACCATTTCCAGAGAAAAAGCTTGTTATCTTGGGTGTCGTCGAGGGACACCAAGCATGGTTAGTGTCCTTTTGGTTTCCTTTCCAGCCACCACGTTATTTGCATAATGGCCTGTTGCTCTTGCAGCACATGGGTACTGCTGGATCCACAGATGTGCGGATGTTCCGGAGAGCAGTTTGCCTTGCAGCAGGGTGATGCGTTGACATGCTGCGCCGGTGTGACTGAATGTCCATACATTGCCCGTACGCAGGCTTTTCCATTGTGCCTTGAGTAGTTTGACTACTCCACATTTTTTCCATGATGGAATCGTGGTGGCTTGTGGTGGTGTTCCTGTTTCCAGTGCATGCTGATGTGCAGCTTGGTATGGCATCCGACTTCGTGGATGAACCCTGGGCAACAGAGTCACTGTGGAAAGTGGGGGCCATGGCAATTGGCCTTCAGGAGGCAGAAAGGAAGGCCAACGTGTCCTTCAAGTTGCACCTCTCTCATATGGGAAGCCAGCCTGCAGATGTTGCGGAATCCCTCATGTCAGCCCTCGATGAGGTTCACCCGGCTGCCTTGGTTGCCAGTAAGGGAAGCGGCGACTCCAACATGTTGGCCTCGTACATCACGGCCCGGCGAGATTGAGCATGCGGTGTTGCGAGACGAGGCCACAAAGATCATGTTCTCCCCGGATGAGAGCTACACTTCGTTCTCTAAATTTAGTCCAGGCACCGGCCCTGCCATTTTTGCAGGGCCTCTGAACAGATCAGCGTCTTTTGAAGTTGTTTTTGGTGAACCCTTTGGTTTCCAACGTTTTCCACCAGCTTTTGTCCCGCTCAATGGTTTCAACGCGGTTAACACCTGTGTTAATAGTAGCAACCCTTGGCGGAAGAACTTTCACTTGCGTTCGAGTTGGAACTCGAATATGACATTCCACTGCAAGCGTGGATGTGTAATGTGTATCACACCGAATACCGCTTGCCATTTTGGCGAGAAGGATGTTCTCTGATATTGTACCTTCCACTCACCGTCGTTTCGCCTTTGCGAAGCTTTCACCTGCTTCGCAGCTGTGGAGTTGCTTGGTGGTGGCTGATTGAAAAGCTGAGCTATGGACTGAGATGGTCTTGGTAATGTTCAGCCGCCCGGTCTGTACGTCCTGAACCCCGCAGCCAGCACGGTTGTGTCCGGATGTCAACTGTTTCCTCACGTGTGCAAATCGAAGACGGTGAGCTCGTCCATGTTAGCTGGCACAGCCTTTGTCAAGGATGCGTGCTCCTCGTGCTGAGAGTCGTACACCGCACTCAAGTCTGTCACTACTTCTTGTAGCTGTTATGTTGCCTTGTGCAAGTGACACACACGCGCGTTGGTGCGTGCTGGTTCGGATATCGTGCTTGCGCATGTTGTCGTTTCATCTTGGTTCCTCGGCAGGCGGCATGCCGACAGCCGACGCATGCAGACGAATTTCTTCACAATTCGCTCGTTTGAATATAGCAGCTTAAGATGCTGATTGAATGTGCAGACGTTCCGTGCAAGATCGCTTGACTGCATGAACAAAACCATGTTTTTGCTTTGATACCTGAATTGCAAGAGATTTGGACCAAAAGCCTGGCATAACACTGAGGCCCACAAGGTGCTATTGTGCCTCCCCCTGTGACCCGAGCTGCTGTCACATTTGGGTTGTTTGCAATACTTTGACCCGCCTGGCATTATTCACATTTCGCGCCAAGATTGGGCTGGTAGCTTCTAAATGCTTGCAACCTTTCTCCTCTTAAGTTTTGTTGAATTGTTTGCAGTCTTCCAACCCGATCGTCCACTTACAAGGTTGGAAAGAGCTAGCTAGCGCACAGCCCAGCAAGGTGGGGCTACCACAACCAGCACTGCTGTCGGAGGCTGGAATTGAGCGGGGTCCTTATGTCTAAGGACGCTTCCCACCCCCGCGTATCTTATATATAATAGAGCTACAACAGATGAAGAGCCGACACCGTGCCCCGCCGACAGATGAAGAGCTACAACAGAAGCTTTCATTGCCAGAAGGCAGCTGCGAAAAGCCAAGGACCTGCAAAGCTCCAACCCAGAGAAAGACACCAGCAGCAGCAGCAGTAGTAGCGACAGCGGTGAAGGCAATGTCAGTGACAGCGAGTAGTGGCAGTGATATAGAAAATCACTCTCCGCAATGAACACCGCATACGAAAAGATGCGGTGTGCGAAAACACGGTAAAACGATAAGGTCTCCCCCAAAAACGACAACGTGAAAAAAATATACTAAGGCAAAGCAAAGGGTTTCGTCCGCTCCTCATATATGGTCCTACGGCCCCGTATCTAAACATGAAACCGCGTTAATCCTTTTCTGCCGTAGCTTTGGCTCTTTCTTGGGGGAGAGTCTCCTTGTATGGGAGACCCTCCCACTTGCCTTGAGTGCGGAGGCAAGTGGGGGCCCCCGGCAGGCAGCTGGTGCGCTGTCTGCCGGGCCTACGTCCGCATCGGGGTGCTCCTGAAGGACCGGAATCTCCCGGTGACCTGGGAGGCTGCCCTGGTGCAGCGGCTCAGGCAGCTCTCGGGGGAGATCCAGTGGCCTTGGCGGAGGCCGCAACACAGGTACCTCTTCTGGGGATGCTTCCCTGAACCCCGCGGCCTAGCACTAGGAGTACTAGGAGTGCGGTCTGTCCTCCTCTTGTAGTCCCTTGCCCGGAGCGACTCTTGCAACTGCCCTGAGTCCTTTTCCTGCTCCTCGACCTGTGCCTCGTCTTTCGGCTCCTTGAGCGATCCTCGCCTTTCTTGGCGGCCTCCTCTGCTTTCTCCTCACTAGGAGTTTCTGGGCTCCCAGCTCCGCCCTCCCTGGCCTGGGAGGTCTCCTCACCGGACACAGTCTGTGACAAGGTCAAGAAGGAGACATCCTCGAGTGAGGAACTGGAGGAGCCGGCTCCGGCTGTGAGGCCGCCAAGGACTTCACCTGGGCCGCCACCTGGGCCGCCACCTTCTACGCCCTGGCGCCATGAGGAGCTGAGCCTAAGTGGTTTGGCAAGAACAAGGGGGTCACGAAGCGGATCAAGCAGGCTCACTATAGGGAGAACTACTTGCCCCGTTGAGAGGAGCAATGCCTCAAAGCCGTAGGCCTCAGGAGGCCCGCAGGCGCGGGTGATGTGATGAGAAGGCTGGAGGCGTGGGGCCGACCCCGTGCGCCGACCAGTTGATGCGCGGAGGAGAGAGGTTGATGGTGAATACGAGGAGAAGGAATTCAAGGACATGTCCATGGAGGACCTCAGGAACCTCAACAAGGTGGTGATCACAAAGGGCTCATACTGGAATGATGGTGATTGGCTGCGAGTTCGAAGGACGTGAAGTTTATTTGGCTGGGCTAGTCCATGGGACTAAGAGTGAGGCGTTGCTAAGGGTGCTCAGCGGCAAGAAGGAGAAGAAGGTACGTGTTCACGTCTGCGGAGATCTATGTGGTGGGGAGCTAGTGGATGAGCTCCTGGTGCATGGGAAGAAGGCCAAGAGGGTTGATGCTTGGTCAGAAGATTGGATGACAAACCTGGAGGCCGCAGCGGTGGAAGGAAGAGATGAGATGGAGGACCTGCGCCGGGAGAAGCAGGGAGAGAGTTCTCCTGAGAGATCCTGAGAGAGGAGACGCTGGAGAGGTGCCCAGGGAGAAAGAAGCCCTGAGACCGACAAAAGGGAAAAGCAAGAAGGACGTGAAAGCAGAAGGCGCGAGGAGCTCAGCGGTGAAGGAATATGACGCGCTCTTCGGTGGCACTGGTTTGGACTCAAGGCCGGAGTTCAGGCGCAAGGTAGCTTTGAAAGCGATGGAGGTGGTGAAGAAGAGGAAGAGGAGACATGGAGGCAGGTCAAGTGAGTCTGAGGAGTTGGACTCGCATGAAAGCGAAGAGGTGATGGTTGATGAGGAGCTCCTCTCGGAGCCGTCCAGTCTGACCCGGGTCGCAAAGGGGCTTTGACCAACCAGACGCTCTATGAGGGACGTTGGTTTCGGCATAGGAGAAGGGGTGCCCTGCCGTACTACCGGGCACGGGACTATGAGCCCTGCAATGAGCCGTGAGGCCCATACACTTTCAGCCGCTCTGGATATGGGGCTCAGAGGAAGGATTGCAGGGATGTTGGACCTCCTTAGCCAGAGGTTGAAGGCGCTCAAGTTGCAGGCGAAAGGAAGCCATTGGACGGTCAGCCGGCAGATTGAGCTTCTTGGTGGAGATGGGCCTACGTTAGCAGGCCATGATGAGGCCATGGAGGCTGCTCGACGTGCAAAAGAAGAGGCGAGGCTGCGCCAGGTCACAACGCAGCCGAGCTTTAGCAGCAAGGGCTCCCATTATGGGAGCCAAAGGTTTGAGGAGAGGAACGATCGCACACACGCAAAAGGGAAGGAGGGGGACCGGGGCAAAGGATGGAAAGCTGGGAAGAAAGGTGAAGGAAGAAAGGTGAAGGAAGGTATAACAAGGAATGGCGAAAGGAGGAGACGAAGAAATGAAAGGAGAAGGGCCCCCAGGTCCCCTCCCTGTGGATAGTGTGTGTGCGAGTGCGAAGAGTGTGGGAGATATGGAGGAGCCAGCCGTGGAAAGCAGCAGTAAGGATGATGAAAGGTGCAAAGAAGTTGAGGCGTGAAGGTCGTCAAGGAGGACAGGAAAGTGGGCCAGTTGGACTTGAAGGAGTTTTGCGAGCAAGGTGTGTTGCAGTATGTTTCCAACTTTGAGGACTTTCTCCTTCCCGAAGAACTGCAGACCATCCCCAAACCTGCCCGAGTACTGGTTGACGACTCTGGTTGGGCGCAATGCGATTTTTGGGAGGTGGACGCCTTGCATCATGTCAGAGGGGCGCCTCTCCTAAATGGGCTATTTGCGGTAAGCAAGGATGAGCTGTTTACAAAGGAGGATGGGTCTTCCCATGAAGTCATGAGGCTCATCATGAACTTGGTGCCGCTCAACAACCTGTATAAGCCCCTGATAGGAGACACGCCAACTCTCCCGTTGATTCAAGGGATGAGTACCTTCCGGGAGGTCTTGACTATATCCTCAGAAGATATTAGATGCTTCATTTACCTCTATTCGGTGCCGGAGGAATGGAAGAAGTTCTTGGGCTTCGCGAAGATGGTCCCGGACAAGGCGCTCCCGCAGCACTTAACAGGAAAGGTGGTTCATTTCTCGCGTGTTGCCTATGGGATTCATAAATTCAGTGGCTATTGCACAACATATACACCGGAACGTAGTGCGACAGGCAGCTGTGCGAAACATTCCTCCCGTGATGGGAGAACAAGAACTGAGGAAGGATAAGGGTCCTACTAGCTCCAAGCAGTTGTTCCCCATATACCTAGACAACTTTGATGGGCTGACACGCCGTGATGAAAGGACAGCTCTGCTGGTCCAGGAAATCGAGTCGCTTATGGTAGCCACGCTGAGGGGTGAGGCTGCCACGCCACCCGAAGAAGGCGGTGTCGAGTCAGTTGAGGGGCGAGGTCCAGGGTGCATGGATCGATGGTGTGACGGGGACCGCGCGCCCCAAGTTGCAGAAATGTGTCATCTATGCTATGCTGGGTCTGGAAGTCCTTCGATGGGGCCGAGCAACCCAGCGTGAACTTCAGGTGCTCTGCGGAGGCTTTGTCTATGCTGCCATGTTCAGGAAACCTTTGTTGGGTGCGCTCAACAGAGTGTGGGAACACATTGTGGGAATGGGCAAGTTGTCTAAGCGGATGAGGCACCCGCTCCCTGCAGAGGTTAAAGGGGAGCTTGCCCGATGTGTTGCACTCCTACCGTTGGCCTATATGGATTTCAGGCTACCCTTCAGCGAGGTCGTTACTGCCAGCGACGCTTCCACCAGTGGGGGAGGTTTTACAGTCAGCCGTGGGCTCAGCGGGTATGGACTGGCGGCAGAACGAGCGCGAATTCGTGGTGAAGTTCCTGAAGAACATGATCTTGTCAGGGTGTTGGCAATAGGGCTCTTCGACGGCATTGGCGCTCTTCGGGTAGCTTGTGAACAGCTAGGCGTTCCACTGTGCGGGTACATCAGCGTTGAGAAGGAGAAGAGTGCCCGCGCAGGGTACTTGAGAGCAATTTTCCTGACGTCATTCATGTGCTCGATGTGGAGGAGGTCAATGAGGAAATGGTCATGGGTTGGGCCCTCCAGCACAGTGGAGCTGGAGTGGTTCTCCTAGGGGCTGTGCCAAGGGGTCTCAAACCTGAACGCGGACCGTCGAGGAGCTCAGCAAGATGAACGGAGTCGTTTGTTCGTGCATGTGCCTCGTATTATTGAAGAGTTGGTCAGGCAGTATTTCCCCTGGGCCCAAGTACACCACTTGGTTGAGAACGTGGCGTCTATGGATGCTGTTGACTGCGAGGTCATGAGTGCGGCCTATGGAGATTGGCCATGGAAGATTGCCCATCGGCCCAGGCTGTATTGGCCTTCTTGGGTGGTGTGTGCCAGAGAGGGAGTCACCGTAACTCCTGGTTTGGATGCGTGCTGCTTGGGGGAGATCCAGTTGACAGGCTTCATCGACGAGAAGGAGTTCTTGGAACCAGGATGGAAGCGTGTGAAGGACAAGCCGCTGCCAACTTTCACTACGGCTAGGCCCTCGGTTCAACCTGGACGGAAAATAGCAGGTCTCAATCGGTGCGACGAGGCCACACTTTCGCGATGGAAAGAGGACCAGCGCAGGTTCCCCCCGTATCAATATTGTGAGGAGAATTGCCTGACAAATCGGAAAGGCGCGCTGTCAATGGCAAGCGTGACGGAGAGGGAAGTCATTCTGGGATTTCCTGCTGGATACACCCGGAACTGTGCGCCCAAGAATGAGCAAAAGGCATACACTTTTGGGAAATTCCTGGTCAGTGCCAGTTGTCATGTGCTTGCTCTACGACCTAAGCCGCTAGGTCTGATATCCGAGCTCAGGGTTCAGGACATGCTCGAGCGGCTTACTCCCGGAAAGGGAGAACTTTTGCGGCATGTTTTGATGCGGCCGCCTTTGGTGCGCTCAACTCAGCCCCCAGTGGATGGACAACGATTGGTTTCGCGCTTGTGGTGTCAATCCAAGGGAGACGACATCATGATCCAAGGAACCACGGAAGGTCCTGTGCGCTACCACCGATTGCGAGCCAGTGTCCCTGCCCGATTGTGGCACTGGAAGGAGGTGGCAGGGTGGCCATGGACTATGGACTGGGGGTCGCGAGCACATCAATGCCTTAGAGCTCCGGGCGGCGCTCATACCGAGGGCGTTCGTCAAGTCGAAAATTGGGGGCAGAGTTTGGGGAAATTAAAAGACTTGACAGTGCAGCCATCGACTCGGCTGCGTTACGACAAGGCCAGATGTCGTTTTCTGCAATTTTTAAGGGACAACCAGCTGGAATTGTTCAAGGAAAGGGCACGCATGGATGCGTTGGTCAGTGACTTTCTGGAGTACCTGTGGAGCTCAGGTGAGGGCCGTGGGCTCGCGTGTGACGCTATGGCAGCGTTGCAGGATTTCAGGTCAGCTTCATGGATCTTGGCGGCTTTTAAAAGCTTGGCATGCAAATGAAATTCCTAACCGAGCTCCGCCGCTGGCAGAGAAGATGTTACAAGCCATGGTTGGCTATGCTCTGTTTAACGAGTGGTACTCTTTTGCTCTCTCGTTGATGCTTGGCTTTTATGGCCTTTTGAGAACTGGAGAGTTGCTCGGCCTTCGAAACTCGCACATGGCCATGAGTGGGCCTTCGTCACCCGCAGTGGTAAACTTGGGAGTGACCAAGGGCGGGAAGCGGCAGGGAGCTGCCGAGAGTGTTTCAATCGGAGTCATCCCCGTTTTGCGATTTCTGCGGCGATGGAAAGCCCTGTATGAACCCCATTCCCCTCTGGTCACCAAAGCGCATGTGTGCAGACAGCGCTTCCAGGAATGCCTTCTGAAGTTGGGGTTGCGCGAATTAGGTCTGCGGCCCTACTCGTTGCGCAGCGGTGGCGCCACTGATTGGTTTTCCAAACATGGGAATTTCGATAAGCTGCTCCAACAAGGTCGTTGGGCAGCTGCACGCACAGCTCGCATTTATCTCAAATGAGGGTTTTGCCCTTGTGAAGGATGAAAGTCTCACAGAAGTTGTTGGTAAGTCTTTCAGAATTCAAAATTTCAGCCAACGCTTGAGCGTCCTCAGAAGAGGAGGCCAGGGGGACGTGGAAAGAACAGAAAAAGGGGGTGTTTGGGAGTGGAGTCCTTTTGGATTTTCTGGCGCTCGAGGCCTAGGTTAACTTCTGTTTGGCGGAGTTGCCTGGGGGGCGCGGGGCGGGCATCACTTCCTTCCGGTTTGGCGTGAAGGGAGTGATGTTCGGGGCCCCTCAAAAAGAATGTGCCCAAGGATGGGCCGGCCACGGAGGCCTTTGTACTCTGGGTCGAGTACTCGAACTTGCGCTTCTTTATTAATTTGACAACTTCCAGCTTGCTGGTGCATAAAAGGAGAGCGGTTGAGTGTTTATATATATATATATATACATATATATATATATATATATATATACATATATACATATATACATATGTGGCCTTACTTTGAAGTTTGGCCTTGATTTGCCGGCCTTGTGCTGCAACTTGGCTGATTTTCGTGTTTGGGTCGCTTCTAAGTGTTTGGTTGCTAAGTCAGGGTTCCGAGCCGTTTAAGAGACGTTGACTTCGGTTTCCCTTGGCATTTCCCCTTCAACCAGTTGATGGTGATCTGGTGTTTGGCTCGCTGAAGCCACAAGGAATTCGATTTGACACGGCACAGGTAAGTGGCGGAAACTTTCCTTTGGTTTTCAACTTGTCCCAGCTTGCCTCATGCCGCGGATGGACAAAATCAATTTCGCAGGTTGTTGATCGGCTTCGCCCATCCCAACTGGTACCCGTCCAAGGTATTGCGTTGACTTCTTGGGGGTTCCAAAACTATGACACATCATTAAAGCATATTATTTCCTGTGTGCCCGTATATGAACTCCTGGTATGAACTCCTGGTACCATTGCTTTAATGTGCTCTGGTTTGTTGGTGGAACACTCTCCTTTCACCCAAATGGAATCCATGGCAGGAGGCAATCTATTTTTTGAGCTTCTTGTGGACTTTGGAATATGAAGGGCCGGCCCTCCAAGATATTGTTCTGCACACATGTCGGGCCCCCTACTTTGGGACATGTCGGGTCTCAGGCCCTTGTACAAGGTGCTTGGTATCTCCCATCCAAGCATCACCAGGCCATGCATGATGCCGTTCATTCGGCGCTGTGCGAGACGGACACTTCAATGGGACGCTTTCGCATGTGCGGGCGACTCCGCTCGGGCTGCGGGTTTGGTTCTGGGGCCGGGACCCAGAAGGAGAAGCTGCGAAGATACTAAGAGACACATAAAGATGGTTTTGGAGGTAGTTTAGTCCAGAAGTTCAATGGACACCCCCATCACCAAAGTGGAAACATAGTACCACCCTTACTATTAAAGCATCGGCAAAGATTCGGTAAAGTACCTGTTATTGCGCCTCTTATTGCGCCCGTTATGATGTTATTGTGCCTTCTACAGTACCATAGGGACGCCCCCAAACAAAGGTCTGCACGGTCTCCTTTTGGTTTCCCTTCGAACCCCAACAAGTCGGTCAACGTTTTCCACAACTGCTTGAGCCTCGCTACAATGCAACAGGCTGAATACTTCTTATAATCATTTTCCCATCATGGTTTTTTTCAGTTTCATGATACCCCAACCCCAACTTCCCCCCCCCCCCAAACATTCCAATGATTTGGTATTGAGCCCCGTGTACGATTCAAACACTCGAGTGCCTTTTTCGTCCAGGGTACCCCCCCACCGGTGCGCCCCAAGTCAGGATGGTTGAGTCCTTCGAGCCGGCACCTGAGCTGGGTCAACTGATCCACTCACCTAGTGACCCCGGAGGAATTTTCACCCCATTGATACTGCGGGTGGACGGAATCCAATTCGCACCACGAAATGAAACCATGGTTGAAACCATGGCTTGTTGGCATTTAGCGGGGAATCATCATTCCAGAGTTTGCAGGAGTTCGTCCACCCACAGTAGGGGTGCTGTTCCCTGGGTTTTCACTTTTAGAGGGGAACACTTTCGTATGATCACACAGGGTTTATTAATCCGGGGTCAACATTAGATGGGGGGTGAATTGCACAAACCAGATGGATTTCCGTGTTTGGAAGGAATTTTATTTGTTCGCCAGTGGTTGGCGGACGGGATGCCCCTCTTAGGGCCTTAGGGTTCAATGCCTTTTTCTTCCACCGTGATCTGCAGTTTACCTTGTGTTTATTGATGGCTCTGGGCTCGTAGAGGAATCTCATGGCCTCACATGGTGAGTGGTGCCCCCTGGAGGTTTCCCTTTGGTGGGTTTCCCACGGCCAAAGGTCGGAGGCGTTGCGTTCCATTTGGTGTGGTTTGCACATTTTTGAACGGGCTAAGATGAGTACAGGGGGGTAATATAAGGGGCAAAGTGGTACTTGGTTCTATGACAATTTTGGATATTGGACCCCACAACCCCATTTAGTTTGTTTGGCTCAAAAATACGTCCTTTGCCAGACACCAGGCTTCCGCCAGGGTCGAGTGGGAGCAACTTTGTTTTGGTCCGAAGGCATTGGGCTGGGCGTGGTTTCACAGAACCATCGTAACGGCGCCTATTGACAGGGGTGAAATAGATGGGTCTGGGTCAAAACCCAAATCGTGCCCCCAGTGAACATCCCAATCCAACCACTAAAATGGATTAAAATGGGTGGTGCACCTAGCCCAAAATGGTACCATTGGTGTTGACCCACGGCCAGCCATGCACATGGAACTGTGACCCAAATCGGCTCTGACTCCTGACAACTCTTCTTTCTTCTGCCAAAGATGATTGTGATTGATATTTCCTTTCGGGAGGGTCCTGAAACCGACAACTACTGTAAACAATCATCGAAAAAGATGAACCTAGCTTGGCCCCGCAAAGAAAAGAAAGTGAGGAAAAGACGCAATCCCCGGTGTTCAACGAAAACTCCCCCCTCCCCCACTCAAACGACCAGATCTCTGGGTACCACCGCACTCATTTTCAGCTTTGGAGGCAGCAGCGCGGATGGCAGTACGAATGGGTGGCCGGGCACCCGGCACGAAGTCGACCCCGTTTTTTTTTTTGCGAAAAGTCTTGTACTTGCCCATTCTCTTGTCGGCATGAGAGCTGAATGGACACCCCAGCGAATCCGGTGTCACCCATGAAGGATTCCCAGAAGGGGACCCTCCCCACTTCAAATGGCCATGGTTCAAAACCGTTTTGGGATCCCATTTTGGTTGGTAGGTGAATTCACCACCCATTTTAGAACCTGTTTTAGTGGTTGGATTGGGATGTTCACTGGGGGATAACCGGGGTATGACCCATGGCCAATGGCCTGGATAAGTACTCAACACGTTTTGGGTTCAGGAAAGGCATGGTTTAAACCAAGGAGGTACTGTGCTGCATCATGACTATGATTTGAACGTACCGCCCTCATATTGTGCCATGGTAAGACAGTTTCCTTTTCCTTTGGGGAATGTCAAGCTAAGAACTTCACCGGGGTTAGTGATTTCAACCATCCCATGGGAATCCATTTGGGGTGCTCTTTTTGGCTTTGATTACGGCTCCTTTGGGTGTGGTTGGGGTGCAAAAGGATAAGGACGAAGGGAACGCATCCCAGCTTGTGGGCCTGTTGCCAAGTCGGCATATGTCTTCCATTTGGCCGGTCAAAACCCAAATCGTACCAGTGAACATCCCAATCCAACCACTAAAATAGGTTCTAAAAATGGGTGGTGAATTCACCTAGCCCAAAATGGTACCATTGGTTTTGACCCACAGCCATTTGAAGTTTGCCTCTTGAACCAGCCTTGTCACTTACAAAGGATTGCACCAGGTTATGGAAGTGTCAAGTTAGGGCTACCGGCATGTTGTGCCATCCACTTCTGCCAGTAGCTTGACGTGTTTGTGTTGTTCCAATGGATATGACAGGGTAGGTTAAGTTAGATGAATGACATACAAGCGGAGGTGGCCCTCGAACAAATCGGACAGAGGCCATCGGGCCTTACTCACATCCGGGCGTTAACCATGGTTGTTTCAATCCACTTAGGGAACCATGGCAAGTTGTTCACCATGCAACCCTTGGTGGTTGGCGTTTTTCAATATTTGAACTGGTTCTTATAGAGGGTAAATGGGACATCACATCCTACAAACCACCTATTTGAGGGGAGCTGAAGTTCTCATTGGGCTGCTATGCACTTTACGATTGGTCCCGGACCCAGCTGAGGGGAAGGAAGCCGCCCACATCTTCCCGCTGGGGGGGGGCGCGGCGGCTTTCGGTGTCCGCCCGAGGTTTTCGCCCGAGCGGAGATGTATTGGACCCAGGATCATCCACCCATCCAGGCGCAGGATCCCAAGAAGCCCTGAAGCAGTTCCTCTTTTCTTGGTGGCTCCCAGCCATCCCCTTACCCTTTCAGCTTTTTTTAGTGGTAGTTTCCATTTAACCCACTAAAAGTTATTCACTTTTAGGGGGGGGATCTGAGGGCAACCCAGTTTTCATACCCCCCCCCCAACTTTCTCGAGTTCTTGGACTTTAGGCCACTTTTTTGGTTTGGTTTGCCATATAGTGGCAACCAAGTTGGGACTTGCTTTTGGCCCATCCGCTTAGGAGCGAGCACGCTGAACGCTTCCGATGGCAGGGTCCGACCCAGAAAACGGGCGGTTTTCCGCGCAAGAAAAGGACCCCCGCACCCAGATGTTTGGCCTTTTTTTCCCCATGTGAAGCTTGGCTGAATCACATGAGCAAAATTGGGCATCAGAGAAGCTCTCAGAAGCCCCTGTGGTGGGAGATTAGCTGGAACGGACAGAGACAAGGGGACATTGGTTATTTGTCCTCAGACCCCGGCCTTGCAGTACCAGTACCAGAAATGGGCCTTTTCCACCGCCCTTGACTTGAGGGTTTCCCACTTGCCAAAAAGCGTAGTGGACTTTTTGTTGCCCGACAGCGAAGGTCGGAGGCTAAGGGGAGGGGTTTCAAAAGCTGTTCCCCAATGATTGTTGGAGCAAAGGGTTCCCATACGTGCCATGGTCAAAACTCCCTATGTCAGTCATGGTCATGGTTCCCTTAGTCATGACCATGACCATGGTTCCCACTGTCATGGCTCTGAGACTCTGATTCCATGTCTAGAAAAGCAACTTTTCGGCATGCGTTTCTTGTGGAGTGCAGGTGCTGCACCCTGACTACGTCCATATTCCCATGGGCCAGGCTGGCTCTGCAACGGGCGGGGCCTTCCCAGATCCATTTGCCTGTATCAACCTAGTAACAAAGGAGTTGCCCTTATTTCCTTGACCAGACCCCAACCCAAACCCTTATCAAGACCCAGGTAGTCAAAGGAACCACCCTGATAAAGCCAGGAAATGTTGCTGACCCGGTGCTGTGGTAGTTGTTTTTCTTATTGTTGTTTCTGATTGGTGATGTGTTTTTTTCCCCGGGTTGGTCATGTGTGTGTGTGTGTGTGTGTGTGTGTGTGTGTGTGTGTGTGTGTGTGTGTGTGTTGATAAGCGACAATCAGCTAGAGTCTGAAGCGAGACTGAAGCGAGATGATCGCCTAGAAACTCATGAAAAGAATCCTTGCGCCTGGATCTCTGCCCTTAGGCCGTCCATGAGCAGCAATATCCGTTTGCGGTCCTGGCATGTGCCTGTTGGCTTTCTTGGTTTGCTTATATATTTCTATCGGGCCGCAACGAGGTTTTGTCTTTTGCTCACAGATGCTGACACACCAGAGGCTGGCAAGTTGTTCCGCGAGGTTCGGTCACAATTTATCCAGTCTAGAATTGTTTGGGAGCGACATGGACCCCTCTAAACTCCCCAACAAAACCAGGAGACTTGCGATTTGTTCCATGTCCTTTACGGTGCCTGCATATTCTGACCGTGCTTCACCTGGCAGGACAATAGCTTCTACAACTTCAACCCGCTGAAAGGCATCAACGCGCGAAGCTTAGGAATGCGCAGCTCACTCCCGAGTTCCTGGTTGCACGACTCACTTTGGGTGACCATCGCATTGACAAACAAAGACACACCTGTTTGCGGCCAATCCACTCGTGTGGTGAGGAAGTTCTGCGATTCGATCCGAAGGTTCGCATGATGCCAAGGATCGCCACGCGGTGGTGCCGAAGCGGTACTTCGATTCCTACTTCAACCGCTATGAGGCAGAGGGAAGCTGGAGGCATTGCAATCAGGTCCATTAACGGCAGTAACGTGGTTGCATTGTTGGGTCAAAAATTATTTTGGGATCCTGGTTATTTCCCTTTAAACCAGTTCTCTATTATATATATATATATATTGTTTTTTTGGGGTGTTATTTGTCGGGTTATTACTTTGAAAAAAAATGAGAGAAGTGGTTTCACCAAGAGGGTAATTGGAGGATGTCATATCCAACCGATTCGCCATAGCCGCAGTGACTTGTGAGCAATAGGAGCCATTGAGTGGCCATGGGCATCGTCAGACCCAACCTTGCGAGTGGGCTCAACAGCATCGCGCTCTCTCCATCGGCCCTTGGTCGCCCAACCCAGAGCCGCGGAAGTTGACTCCGGGAGAGCCACAGGATTGGTCAAACTGTGTCTCAGCCAGACCCTTGGTCCCTCCAAAGCCGGAATGAGGTCGTTAAAAGAGTGAGGTCGTTGATGGTCCTGGATCCCCGATGGACAGTCCTTTCTCTGTTTTCGCGCTGCAAACAGATGCTGAGTGAGAGTCCAGGGTGATTGAACATGTGACAAGGACAATGGTGGTTGAGCCTCTCACCAAGAGAAGGCAAACACGCCAACTTGAGCTTAAACCAAGGCGCTGGTCAGCCGAGAAATCGACTCGTCGAAAGGGTCCCGTCCCAAAACATTTGGAGCGCGTTGGAAACCAAAGGAAGAGCCACAGATTTGTGCGTTCTGGTTTTTCGACCCCCATAAAGGGAGCCCGCTTTTTCTTCTGTCAGTTGTCACCTTGTTTTGGTGGTTGCTTCAAATGTTATTTTGGAGGAGGGACATATATCGGGGATGCTGCTACGTTTCCCCAGGCACTCCCTCTTGGCGAGCCACCAATGTTGAGAATCGATTTGAGGCACCCCATGTTTCTTGCAGCTTTGCGCAAGCTTTCAAAGCGGCAATAAGAGCACCGAAGTCCTTCTGAGTTTAGAGGGATGTATGAATGACATATTCCGCTCCAATAGTGTTTGTTTTTACTTTCAAGGGATCCAAGATGCCCCAGCCCCACTCTGTGTCAGTCTCTTCTGGACGGACGTGCCTGGCGGTACCTCGCCAAAGTTGCAGAGGCCATGGTCGGGGGGAGTGCCCCAAAATAGGGCTTAAAGGAGTATGGCGTCCAAACATGGGGGACGTGGGTCTCCCCTAAAACAGGGTTCAAAGAATGTGAATGTGTCCCATTCCTTCCCTCTTGTTTGCCTGCAAACATCAACCCAAAGTGAAAGTGAGTCCTTTTCAAGGACATCGGGTATGCAAGGGGAGGTACCCATGTTGGCGTTTCCAAAAAGGAAACCAAAAGGACGCCGCCGATTTTTGTGGGGTGCTCTGAGAAAGACCCATGTCAATGTAGGATTCTTGGTTGTAACTTATATCCCACCAACAACAGGGTTGACTCCTCTTGGGGAGGGCTTATAAGTGGCGAAGAACTTAGGTTTCTAACCACTTGCCACCTCGGTCAACTACCCAAGTATCCGACATCACAGGTACAGAATGAAGTTTCCAACAGCAGACCCTTTGGTGGGAACCATTTAGTTCAGGTTGGGATTCATCCGCCCAACATTGGAATCCGAATCGGGCCCATGCACCCGTCTGCCTGGATAAATGTGACTTTGCACCCTTGACGCGCCTCTGTTACCCCTCTGCCAACGGGCATTCTCTCCGGGTATCAATCTTTTTGTTTTTAATGATTTCCAGAAAAGCTTCGCGAAACCCTGGAGGCACATCTGGTTGCCGGAAAAGAAAAGGCAACGAAGGTTCGTTATGGAGAGGGACTCCACCCCTTGAGCTCTGGGCTTTTGACCCCCCCACCCCCACCCACTTTGGAAACGGACGCGGATCGATCGCCGCTGTCTTTGTTTCTCAGCCAGGAGGGCTGGCTGGTGAACACTGAGCAGTATCTGCTGTTGCACCTGCGGGCCCACGCCGTGCGGGCGCCTGACCCGCCTGGCGTTGTTTGTTTTTTGTTTTTTTGGCCGGATCGATGGGATGGCAAAGTCAGGTAAGTTCGAATGATTGTTTCCAGTTTGTGACTGGCAGTATTTTCCCAGACGATTGCACTGGCCATGGTTTATCAGGGTTTTAACAAACCAGACACGCTTGTTAAGTGGTGGGTATCATACCGGAGCCTCTTGAACGTCGTGCCTCTTGTTTTCTGGAATTCCATTTGGGTGTGTTTGTATTTAAAGCTACCCTTTAGGGGTAGCTTTATATAAAGGAAGACTAAGGAGGAACCACCTTTTGCGGGGTTCCACCATTTTGAGATAAGCCCATAAATTAGCTGGCACCCACATAGCTGCATCCGGGATCGCCAGTCTCTGTTTGTTCTCCATCAACCGTGCCTGTCTTTAAGGTAAAGTGTCTAGAAAGAGAAAAACAACACTTTGCTGTCTATGTTTCTGCTGTTCCCCCTCCCCCGATTCTGACACATGTCACAGACCCATATAGCTTCACGTTATTTCCCCCCCGCCTTAGGAGTCGTTGGGCTTGCCGGCCTCAGTCCGCAAGATCACCGCTCTGAGGTGCCAGTCCGGCGCTTCCCGCCGGTGGCGTTCCTGTCTCATTGCGCGGCCCTTGGGCCGAGGGGCTCCTTGGGAATGTCATGGACCAAGTCACATGGCTGCGGCTCAAAAAGCCACCTGAAGTGGAACCCTAAGTGGAAACATGGACCAACACCTGTGTACCCCCTCCTGTTTGATTTTGAGCCACACCCACATGTTTCGGCCTGATCTGACCACGGCCCATGGCGGAAAACGCATATTGTCACTTTGGCTCAGAGGGAGTGTGTCTTTTGGAGTCTGTTTGAGGGCACTCCTGTCCAAGGCCGACCTGTTGTTCCAAAACGGGGTTCGCACGAGGTTCACCCGTTTCCAGGTCCTGTGGGCAGCTGGAAGCCAATAGGCAAACGCCAAGTACTCGTCTCAAAATGAGGAGATAAAACCTTTCTCAACTGTTTTGGTTTGTCATGTTGGTTTCCCTTTAACATCAACCCAAAAACAGTTTTTTACTCTAGGGGTTGATTCCCCATTCGTTTCAACCATCGTTCTCCAAAGGTTTCTAGAAAGACGGATCCCTGGAAAGAATGGGGAAGGTACCTCTAGATTTTACGGCTTGCTGCCAAACAGAAACGGCCGCCTTCTTTTTGTGGGACTGTCGGGTGCTTTGAGGCACTGAAGGCCCGCAGTGCCAGCACCTCTACAAGGGCACCAGCCTGGGGAAGCCGCTCGGCACGGAACTTTTGTGGTGCCAAACCCCCGATTTGGGTGTGGCTCAAAATTGAAGAGCCGGGGGTTAAGCGGGCTTTGGTCTTTGGTTCCATGTACCAGTGCAAGCCATTTTGGGTTTCCATTTTCTTTGAGCCACAGGCATTTGTATCATAGCAGTTACTCTCCTACCAATGAAAACTAACCTGACGTTCGTGGGGTGGTTGGCCCATTCTCCTGTTAAAGGGACCCCTGACCGACTGGCTCCATGTGAATTGGCGGGAGGGTGGCAAAATCAGAGGTGCCGGTCCTCCAAGAAAGGCGGCCCCACTAAACAGGGACCCCCCCACAGAACACTGGCGGGTGGTTTTAAGCAGGGCTACACAGTAGTGGACTGCATATTCGCATGGAACGTCACAAAAGGGGTCGATCCTTCCAGGGTTCGATGTTTAGAAGAGGAATGAATCGGAGTCCTACGCGATTTTCCTTTGGGCATACCAACCACAAGGCGTTCTGCATTTTTGAGAATCACATCTTGGTGGCTCTCAGCCATCCCCTTGGCCTTTTAGCTTTTTAGTGTGGTAGTTTCCATTTAACCCACAAAAAGTTAAACTTTTAGCGGGGGATCTGAGGGCAGACATGGGAACGTTGGATGAAGAACCGTTTTGATCGGTGCTCCGGGGTCGATGTTGCGAAGCCTGGCCAAGATGCGGGTAAATTGAACGCCAGGCACATCAAACCACGAAACCCTCGTAAATCAGGGTAGGGGTTTGCCTTTTTCCCCTGCAATACGATACCGAATCCTGTGCGCTTCAGGCAACGCTGGACACACACGGCCAAGTATTTCACAGAGCTCATCGAAGCCCGACGCACGTCGGTGGATGCGGCGACCTCAGCTCTCTTTTTAGCCATACCCCAGTTGTTTCGTGGATTCTCGTGTTTCTCCTTTCTGGTTGGAGGCTTCCTCAAAAATGGTCCACCCCCAAAAGGGTTCCCCATGCATCTACCTGGGTCACTGAACAACTGAGATACTATGGATGGACATAATCCACGCCAAATTTGTCCATCCGTAGTGCGTGTCCTTTTTGGGTGCGTTCAGTCAAGATTGCGACCAGGACAAGGTCTAATATTGACCACACACACCAGGAGGGCGGAACCCTAAATTGACCATGTCCGTTTGGGGAAACAAGTCATCTAGGCTTGGCTCATAGACAGCAGAGGCTTGGTGTTTGAAAGTGTGACAGGACTTCCACTACCGCTTCAGACGGCTACAGAGCGGGTGGATATGGATGCCGATTCGGCCACACGCTGTCTGGTGCGGGGCCTAGTTGTCTTTTACAGACGACTCGTTTGCATGCTAGCAACAGAAAGGCACTGGCTCATTCAGGGAGAGGGCGAGGGAGAGGACAGATGCACCGTTATGTTTGTTTGGTCGTTGGAGCTATTTGAATTGTTTGTGAGGATGACAAAGGCTCTACCTCTACAACTCTGGTCTTTGTTGTGACTGAAATCGCCCCATCAGTTGGTTCCTGTCAGAAGCAGACTCCTCCCAGCTCCCAGAACACATGCAATTCTTTACTGCCCTGAGGATCTTGTGACCTGAAGCAGAGTTTGTTTGAGGTCCAAATCCGATGGGCTGAGAATCGTGTATGATTTTGAGGGTACGCTTTCAGCTTGGTTCCAAAAACACCATAAGGAACTCCGCTATTTTTTTTTGGGGGGGGGTCGGGTCCGAGGGGGGGGGTCTCGTCTATTTTGACATATAATCCTTTTGGTGACTTCTTGTTGGACATTGCCAACTTCCGGGTAACGTTGCCACTTCACCCAGGGTGCAAGGGGATGTCAGTGATCCCTGTTGCTCCCCTGCAAATGAACGTGGAAAGTGGGTTTTTGGAGAGGTGTTTCTAGAAACGGCGGCTTCTTGGGTTCTATGTGAAAGCAGGAGCAAAAGGGAACGTCAAGGGCACCCTTCCGGGTCAAAGGCGACCCTTTCAATAATTTCGACCGGCACTTCAGTCGGTTTAGAACGCCGTCCCCTCTAACATGGCACCTCACGGCTTCCTTCCAGAAGTTTATCTTCGCGCCAGTGCTAGGCTCAGTTTCCAAGTTGGTGGACTGGACACCAGATTTTGGGACCATCTTGCCAAAGGTCCGAATAGGGACCCTGGGCTCTCCAAAACTATTTGACCTCAATGGACCCCCCTTCTCTGCCTACTCACAAACAAGCGGCAGAAAGGCAGGAATCTTGAGAGCCAGCCCCAATACCAAGCACCCATTGGTTGGCCAATTTCAGTTCACTGTCCAGGCACTCATTTGTTGCGAACACCAAATGGTTTTTGGTGGCTTTGCAGGGAAACCAAAAGGAACACCGAAATCTATGGGGTTCCAAACTTAACGACTCAAACAAGCGATTTGTTTTCCTTTTGGTTTCCCTTTACAACCACTGAAGATGGGGTACCCTGAAGAAAGACATGCCCAAATGGGTATGGGTCAACATGAACCCGCCAGGAATTGGGCCGCAGCTTTTCGTCCATGGCAAGCCATTTACCAGGGCAAGCCATTTTGGGGGTTACCTCCTAAATGCGGCGCAAGGGATGTTGGGACTTCAATCATTGTTTTTTTGCCAACCACTGGGCTTTCCGTCATTAAAACCGCCAAAAGTGATTCGCTTTTTGGCGGGGGAGCAGATGGCAACCGCCCTTCCGATCCGAGGATCTGGGGCATGGTCCTCAAGGCGGATCGGGTCGCTCCACTGCCTGCCGGGGCCTCGGGCCTCAGCCGGGCTCCAGCCTCCGGAAGCTCGCGCCGGACTCCGGCGGCCTCGTGGCGATTTTTTTTTGCTTTACCCCTGCTCCAACAAACATGGCGCCTGTGGGGAGGGTACCTGGAAGATCAGTTTCCTCCTAAAAGAAGCTGCTGTGAGGTGCTATGTTAGTGGGACGAAGGGTAAGGACCAATATTAGCATATTCAGCCACCCCGATTTGGTGGTTTGGATTGGTGGTTTGGGATATGAATTTTTGGTTGTGGAGGGTCAATGGGAAGCTAGCCTTAATCAACAAACCACCAATTCAAATCACCAATCCTCAATTGGAGGGAACCTGATATATTTTGTTGAGATTATTGATTCCTTGTGTTTGCTTGATTCTGCTTCTGTCTTATACAGCGCTTGTTTGGCTCTTGCATGATTAAACTGGCTGTTTGGTTCTTGACATGTTTTTTCATGGCTCGTTTGGCTTTGGTTCGGTTTGCGTTCGGTGAGGAAGTGCCACAGCGACTGATGGGCGATCGAACAGACGGGGAGAATAAATACAAAGCTGTTGTTTTTGCATTGGGGGCTAACTTTCGTTGCCGCAGTTACTACCATGCTGCTAAGTTGGTTGAACATCCAACTACCCATGTTGCCATGGAACTTAAAATAGGGGATCTTCTTGGTTTGGGTACTATGGGCCTGCCTCACTTTGGGGACCCCGATAACAACATGATTCCGGTTTTCCCGTTGGTTTCCCTTTCAACCCACCCAACAAGGGGTCGCAACTCCAAACAAGAGACGAGCCACCCATATCTATCTACCTGACGTTGAACATAAAGGACATACGCGCAGGGGGGACTTGGAAGAAACATCCAACGACACCCTTCCTTCTTGGAGATGGGATAAGGCATCCAGCCTTTGGATAAGGGAATCCAAAGTCAGGTTCTAGGGTACTGATCAAAGGGTTCTGAGAACTGTATCTCCAAAAGGAAAAGCACCCCGGAAGTCAATGTCACAAAAGGCGAGTTAGAGAATCCCGCCCAGGAACTGGAGCCCCACGAGCTTCTGAGTGTGGACGTGGTGTGCTGACCTGAGCCACGAGGGGAGGTGATGGGTGCGTGCTTTGCCCTCCCTTCAGGCTGGTTGTAGAGGGACACCAAAAGGAAACCAATGATTTTGGGGGTTTCCTTATTTCGACACACACACACACGCGCACATGTTTTTTTGGGTGTGTGATCTTTTCTTTCATTTCTGTGTCGTTTTTTTTTTGGGGGGGGGTTCCCCTATTTTGACACAAACATGTGGTTTGTTTTCCCCAAACAAGCAACAGAGTATAGGTAATTCTTGATTTTGCCAGACCCCCTTTTTGACACCTGGTACTTAGGGCGGAATTTGATTGTTGGATGATCAATTCAAAGTGATTGGTTCCATAAACCCAGCCAGGTGTTTCAAAGCGAGCCAGGCAAGTCTAATGTCCACCAAATTCAAAGTCATACCCACATGGGTTCATCTTCAAATGTGGGCGGAGAACGCACGACTCTCAGAAAAAAAATGCCCATGAGTTTGTTTGATGCCGCCACGTGTCGAAGGTCTGGACTCCATCCGTTTGTTCGGTTTTTGGTGGGCAAGGAACGGCTGGTTATTGGCTACACTGGTCCCTAGATGTTTCTTTTTTGGTGGTTCCAAGCAGCTGAATTTGCAGTTCAGATTGAGTCTGCTGTAGCGCTTGGGGAGTTGTTGGCGTGTCTTGTTTTGAGGATGACGTGTTTGGCTGTTTGACAGGGGCACTCAGTGTGTTCCCTTCAGGTCCGGGAGCCATGGCTCAGGGGGAAGAACCAAGGATCCTGGAAACTTGCGTGTCAAAGGGCATGAAGGTGACTCGGAGGTTTGGTCTTTTTTCAGTGGGAACAAACTCAACGGTCAATTTGGAAAAATAGGGCGGCCAAGACAGGGCGGGAAGGTCTGTTCATCATTTGCTTCTTGCCTTGGCAAGTGCACTGCTCGGCGGCCCGGCAATCGGGTCGCTCCTAGACAGATGGGCATTCTCATGGTGTTATTTTGGTTATTAAAAGGGGTGCCAAAAGGAAGCTCACCTGAAGGGGTCAAGTTTGAGAAGCCCCCATATGTATCTGTCTTTTTGAGGGTACCCCTTTTTTGCTCTGTTTGAAAGAGAAACCACAGGAAAACCCCATGGGTTTTTCAGAACAAGGCAGATCCATATGTGTCGCTTTCCCAATATATATATATATATGTATATGTTTGGTGGTTCTTCAAAGAATACAGATCCAACAACATCAGTTTGGGGTCTCAGATGTTTTTTTTCTCGAAGCCCTGAGATCCCATGGAACTCTTTTGCTCAGGTGCGGCCTGGCGAAGCACGGGGCAATCTCAAGCACTTCGGCCGATTTGTTTCAGGTCGGGTTTGAACCCCCGAGGTTTCAAGGCGTACACGAAAATGTGAACATGAAATCGGATGTGACCCGTTCTGGGCTAGGACTTAGAAGGAATCCGAGCGCGTTGGTTTGCGTTCCAGGCAGAACCAACTGGTTTTGCAGGCGTGGGCAAAGAATGTTTTTTCGGAAGCCACAGGTTTAAAGGGTCCAATTGGCCAACCCCTTTTGGCACAGTTTTAGTTCATTTCCCTGCGTTTTGGGCTTTGAGGACATAGTTCCGCCCACTTTTGACCGTGGCACATGAGCATCGCCGAAAACTTGTGGAGTTTTAGATATTCCAGCATGGTTCTATCTTAGAAGGGCAAGCCCTCTTCCAGGTAGTAGAACCACCTACTGTAGTCACCTAAAATGGCCAACCGAGGTTTCGGGCACTGCTCACATGTGTTGATTGTCGAAGTCGGGTCTTTTGGGGATGGGCTGGACCCTCAACAGGAAGCTTTGCAATGGAATGGTCTAGATGACATATGTGCCATGGTGAACATTTTGATGGTTCATTTGCCAGAGAGCTTTGCAATTTCCGCTATATATTGAATGGTCCACCACCATCCGTACAACCCCAAGTTTAACCGTACCACACAGGTGGTGTGCATCTGTTTGTTGAATCACTCACAGCTGCCTTTTCCCAGCGCGATGCTGTGACATCAGCTTTTTGCTTGATCTGGGCATGTCAGTGATGGGAGGGGGGTACTTAATTTGGTTGGTGGCAAATGGATTTTGGTGAATTTGCGAAATGCCAATTCGCTTTGGGCATGTTTCGTCTTCAGCCTGAGGCTTGCGATGGGTGTTCTTCAGGAGATGTGAATGCCATGCATCGGGGTGACGGCTGAAGATCGGTTGTCACCTCTTCAGGGTTGCTCCGAGCCGTTCGAAGTCCCGTATCTGTCAAGGGCTGCCCGTAAAGCGCCCCCCCCCCAATCCCAACAGAAGCAACAAAGAAGGCGAGGGGCAGTTCTTTTAGAAGTGTTTCTTTTTGCGAGAGGTCCCAACTCCGGGAAAAAAATGGGACTTGATCTCCGTTGGCTTCCTTTCAAGCGGCTTTCCGCCCGCTGGAGCAACCCTGTGTACATAAAGGCTGGGCGCAAATTCTGGGTGCAAGGTACGGCCTGTTCGGAATGTTCAGGGCCCAGAAAAAGGCAGATGCCCCAACCATTGACACAATGCCAAGGCCAAATAAGCCAACTAAGCCCGGATTTGAGAAGTATGCTGGGTCGATTGAACTTATGGCTTCCGCGGAATGGGCGCTTCGACCGCGGAAAAACGGGGCGTCATTTGGCTGCTTGTCCGGTGCTGGTACGTTGTAGAATTGGCTTAAACAGACCCGAACGGAAACACCCCCCCCTTGGGAGAAGCAAAAATCGGCATATTTCTGGGGTGGTGTGTTTCGGGGAGTTGGTAGGAGAAGTTTTAGGAGGAAAGGGAACCAAAAGGAGGTTGTTTAACACAATTCCGGTTTGGTGTTGAAGCAAGGGGCAGCAGCACCAGCAGCGGTACCAGCAGCATCACCCTGATGTGCAGGTCCGCTTGAATCGAAGCAGCGGGCGCTCTGTACCCAACTTATGAAAGGGCATGAAACCTCTTTTCAGTGCGCTTTTAAAGCGCCCTGATTCCTTGTGCAGAATTGAATCAATCAGTTCCAAGCTGCCCAAGGGGTTTTTGTTTGGCACCGAATCCTCCGTCTCTACTGACTGTACTGGCGCACATCGCACCCGAGCTTCAGCCAGTAGAATGGGGTCTCTAGAGGGCCCATGGGTGCCCGTCGGCATCGTGCAGCTGGCTTGGTTTGAGCCAGATCGATTTGCTTCAGTTGGGGCATGGACCTTCATTGACTCAGAGCACAACTTCCATGCCAAGTGCCCTCCAAACACGGAAGCTCCCAGAAGGCCAAAGGGGTCCTTGGAGCTGCCGTGATAGCCTCCTAAGAGAGGGTAGCCCACAATTGTATTTTCTCCAAAAGGACACCGGAAGGGACTGGCCACTGTTTGATTTGACCCCCTTTTCGGCACCAAGTGCACCGCACCGGTTTTGCGAGCAACTTGAACTTTTGTCGCTCTCGACGCGCGTGAAGTTGGCGTGCGGTCTTCGTGGTCCAAGGGAGCTCCATAGCTCAAGTGAGGTCCTACTAGCGGGTTTCATAGAATTTATAGTAAGACCTATGTAGTCCTTTATAACCATCGTAGCAGAACCGAAAGTGAAAGGTTGTGGGCGCTTCTCAAGTGGATTCCAAATTGTCGACGCCAGGTTAGATCCCTGGACGCACCCGCCAAAATGGGCAGGCGCGATACTGTCACAAGCGGAAAGGGTGCCGCAGCGGAGCACGGGACATCTTGGGATTTTGCCTTTTGATTGCACCATTGGGTTAGTTGCCACTGCCGGATTTACCTATGCATCACAGTTTGGTTGCCTACTCTTCTAAAGCGAGCTTCTTTCTAGATTGGTGCTCAGAGGTTGGACAAATGGTTTGGACACTCGGAACCCTAAAACATCCACATTTTGTCCATCCAGAGCTATGGGATTGTTTCAAAATGGGGAACCCCCTTAAAAGTGGTGGTTGTTTGAGGTACTCCTTCCAATCCCCAAAAAAGCTACCGCCTCAATCAAAAACCACACCCATAGGCGCCACCATGAAAAGACACCGTTACTTCTCATTTATAGGAGTTATTCAAGGACTCCTGATCATGGCCCACAAGGGTATGTGGGAGAATTGAGGATTGTCCTTCTGCTTTTCCCCTCAAACCAAGTACATGAGGAGCTTCCCTTTCAACCACCCCCCTCTGCCCACAACAACAAAACACCGGTGCCTTTGCCTCAAAGCTTCGAGACGCCCGCTGTCGGAGCTTTCCGCAGGCGCGTGCTGCTTCTCACGCTTCTGCACCTCGGCGCGGCGGTGCGCGTCCCGGGCGTCCCGGGCGTCCCAACCTTCGGCGTTCGCCGCTGCGGGTGAGGGTGTTCGCTTTTCGCGTGCGGCTTCGGCTCTCCCAAAGCTTCTGAGACCTTGGAGGTTCAACCAAGGTGGGCCAGAATGCCAGTGCTTCAGCCAAGACATAGTGGGTCACCAGGAGAATCCATCATGTACAACCTGGCAAGAAACCCTGGTTACCTACTGTAGTGGCAACCGCAAGCACTGGGCATGGTTAGAAGGGCAGTGATCCCAGTTTCCCCAGTTGCAAACATGGTTGTACGCTGCTTGCCTGACGTTGGTTGAACATCCAAGACATGAACCGGTGGGGTACCCTGTTTGCAGCCGGTTAACCACCCATGCTTTTGGGGTCCGAATCGTAATTGACAAATCGCCGGGCGTTTCTCACAATCATCCAGTCCCATTGTTGGCTCCACCCATTTCTAGTGATAGCCTCAAGTTGCACCCTGGCCATTGCAGTGCCTGCAATATGGGCCGGGCTGCCAGACGTAGCACACAAATACCTGTTTGCTGTTTACACATGTGGCTTTCCCCTTATGTGGCATTCGCCAAGAATGGGCCCCTGAAACTTTGACCTCGGAGAAGTTAGGTAGGCTAGTAGCCCAGATCGTCACCCACCAAGACCCCGAAGAGTCAACCTTGCTGGTGGGTTTTAGCCCAGGTGCTTTGCCAGCTGGTCGACCCAACAAAAAAACTGGCACATCGGACATCATCAGGATCAAAGCGCTTTCGAACCGTGTCATGGAGTCTCCTTTTGACCCGGATCAAGAATGTAACCGGGTAAGGACCCCATTTTTTTGGATGTGTATTTTACGGGTGCCAAGCGTGTGTCTCAAAAATCGTGGGGCCGTTCCAAAGGCGGGGGTTCCTTCTGAGTTACTTTCATAAGGAGCTTTGACCTTGGCGCATCAATCTTCATCACTCATGTGCTGAGGACCACGGAACCCCCGCTCGAGCAGCGACCAACACCCATTGACTCTTGGTTCTACTAAGATGGTTCTGAAGATTTATGTTACTCTACCATGATCCTGATGAAAACAGGTGGTAAAATCATTTATCAAATTGGTTCCTAGGGGTTTCGGGCGCTGCTCACTCACCAAATTGCCACGACTGTGGTGGGGAGCTTTCCAAATTTCCCTGTTCAGTGGAGGCGCATGATCCCGATTACACATGCTGCTTCAAGGCAACACATATATCAATCTTGCAACTTTTCACGCGGTTCGATAACTGAACATTAAGCCAAAGTGGATTTGCTTGAATCTTCAGCCTTTAACTTGCTTGGAGAACGTGTTTTTTTCGCACTCGCCGCAAGTGAAACTCGTTTTGCAGGTAATCGCCACAGAGGTACCATCCTCCAATTTTTCAGCCAGAGATGGTTGTGGCAGGTGGATCCCCTGCAGCCTCCGGGCGGGACCTTCAGCTGGGGGCAAATGCCTCGGCCGGAAAATCGCACGATTTTGGGCGGAGCGCCGCATGCACGCGCGAGAGTGTGCGCGCAGCCGGGTTCGAGGTTCGAGGCGCAACGTTTTGTGTTTGCACCTGCCTTCTTTGATTGATTTACAGCCAGTTTATTGTTGAATGCGCAATATCAACTTCAGTATTCTGGTGGTCTTTTGGTTTACTCTTTGGACCTTATGCCTGGGTTGGATTGGTTCCTATCGGTTTTGCAAGGAAGATGTGATGGTTGGCTATTCCAGTTTTGTTTGTCAGTTTGTGCTGGGCAATGGCCATGACAAAACCTTTTTGGTTTTGTTAAGTTGCCTCTTGCAGGCATGTACCACAGAAGGACAACCCCGACAGCGATTCACTCCTCGGTTTGATAGGCATGTAAGGAAGTCAGTCAAGCATGATCTAAAAACCTTTGCCTGCTGTCAAGAGGATGGCACCCACTAAATTCAAATCCTTTTGCGTGCTGACTAAAACATGGAATCATCCCCACAAAGGGTTCCAATTCGTGTCCTACCATCGCTGGGCAGTTTTGGGTGGCTTTGAACGACATTGCCTTTTGCAACTTTTAGGTGAGCTTCTTTCGGGGTGTGGTCATTGAGGAAGACTAAGCCTTGATTCGCCGTGAATCGATCTGAATTCCAAGAAGGGGGCCGCCGATTTGCGCATTGGCGGATGCTAGAGACCCTCCGAACAAGAACATTTTGGGCCGTTTCAATCTTGCCCTCACAAGGGGTTTTGTTTGCGACCTCATCCATAATGTTGACCCTAGATTAATCAACCCCTGTTTATCGATATGGGTGTGTTCCCTCTCATCTGGAGCCCGTTTTCTTAGACTGATGATGCGCAGGTCGATTTCTCACGATTCGTTTCCTTGGGGCGTTCAATCTGAACCCTGCATAGTATGTATATAACCACGCTCTTTAAAGCCTAGGAGGAAAATGGCTGGCTGCCTACATCTAGGTAATGGGATCCACTGGGAAAGGTTTCACATTTTTGCGGGGGCAGCTAAGAACCCGATACCAAAATACGTAGGAAACACATGCTGAATTCTACAGCCCAACCAACGTACCCCTAGCTGCCCCTACAACTGTTTCCACCCACTCAGCAGCAAAAAGTGCGTTGTTCGACTTCGCCCGGGTCGGTCCGAAGCTGACCATCACGGACTAGATTTTCCTTTGTCTACCTCAACCCAGCCCCTCAGAGGCGGTTTTGATGGGTTTCCTAGCCCCAAAAGTGGTTTGGGAAGCCCTACTGCAACCACTTTCAGGGACCGCAACCACTAGGGACCAAACGGGACCCGGTGCTTTTGACTTCGGTTGGTTTGGCCTCGGCTTTCATTCAGGCCGGCCCCGCCGTTCTACTCCTGGGACGTGGAAGCCTCAGTGGATCGCTTTGGGAGAGTCCTTTGCTTTTTGCACGGGTACAAGTCAAAATAGGGATTCCCTCCAAAAACGTGTGCGTCGCTTTGGAACACACCCAAATGAAAACCTGCACAAATGCTAAAAGTTGTTC